CATTGCAGGCCCCTCCCGAGGCCGCTCCCTGGCGCGCAGGTGCACAGCTGGGTGCCTGCTCTGAGTCGCCTGCCTTGCCAGCCAAGATTGCAAAAATAAAATGCATTTTTAAAAAGGCAGGGCGGAGAGCCCAGGCCTCAGACCCCTGAAGCCGGGCTGGAAAACAGGCCCGGGAGTCCTGCGGGGAGAACCGGACATCTGGGAACCTCTTGGTTCCCAGGGGAGCAGCGCCCGCCCCGTCGGGAGCAAACGCCCTCAGCTGTGAGCCAAGTGTGGTGCTAGCTGGGCGCACGTAGCCGCACGGCCACGGGGAGAGGGCGGCGGTGTGCCTGTCACTCACCACGGAGCATCGAGCCCGACATGTGTCATGTTCCTTCATGACATCACACCCTCTGGGTAGCTGGCCCGGAGGCGGCCATTCCTTGAGCATCTGGGGAGCACTGCCAGGGAGTGTTTGCACGTTGATTTCCTTCTGAATGGGAACTAGAAGTCCCCGGGTGAGCAGTTTCTGTCTTAAACCCTTTTCGGTCCAACCTGGAGGCTGACTCGACAGACCAGGCGCTAGGAGCAGGTCCAACGTCGAGGCTGAGGTCGACACCGCAAACCGGTTCAACATTCAATCCCGTCAATTAATTTGGACCAGACTGTTTGAATTCCAAAAATAAAATTGGACCGCAGAGGGTTGGGTTTCAAGATGAAGAGCTCTTTGGAGCCGGGCTGGGGCAGGGGCACAGTCCCTGCACCAAGGATTGCTGGTTCCGTTCCGGGCAAGCACGTGCCTTGCTTGCAGGTCCCTCCTGGTCCGGACACATACAGGAGGCAGCCGATGGATGTCTCTCTCTCCCCCTCCCCCTTCCCTCCGGGCTATTTCTGGAAACATCATAGCTGCCTCAAAAGACAAGTGGAGTCCTTCCCTCCCTCCTCCCTCCCCCCTCCCTCCCTCCCTCCCTCTCCCTTGCAACGTCCTGGAGGTCGGTTGAACAGCAGTGTAAATGAACGCCGCGCTACTGAACTGTGCACTTGAAGTGGTTAAGATGGTGAATGGTGTGCTATGTGTACTTCACCACAATTACAGAGTAGGCGTCCCTGCCTTCCTGGAGGGAAAGGAAATGCTAGAATGAGAATCACTCGCTGAGAGCCGCCCTAGCGAGTGCTCAGCACAAACTCACGTCGCAGGCCTGCCCCCTCCCCCTGCTCTCCCTGAGGAAGGAGGGCAGCTTGGCGTCCAGGGGAAGTAGGGCACGGTTTCGGGAAGGCTCGATGGCCTGCCAGCGCCCTATGGCCTGCGTCGCGGGGTCCCCAGCCCCCGTGGCACACCGGCCTCATCTCTTGGCTGACGCCCTGTTCCCACCCGCAGATCCTGAACCAAGCTCTCGGCACCATGAACCCCGCCCTCAGCATCGCTCTCCTGCTGACAGGTACTGGGCAAGGGGTGGCTCGGGTTCGAGCATCCTGGCTTCCTTCCTTTGAGAAGCTAGCTTCTTCCTCCTGGCCTGGGAAGGTGGGGATGACTATGGAGGGAGGGCTCTTCTTTTTTTTTAATAAATTTTTATTGATGTCAGAGAGAGAGGGAGAGAGAGAGAAACATCCATGAGGAGAGAGAACCATGGGTGGGCTGCCTCCTGCACACCCACACTGGGGATCGAGCCCACAACCCGGGCCTGTGCCCTGACCGGGAATCAAACCCATGACCTCTTGGTTCCTGGGTCCAAGCGCAACTGCTGAGCCACGTTGATGGGGCAGAAAGGTGCTTTTTCATCCCTACATCAGTCAGCGGAGCCACCTGGTTGGCCTGGCGGCCTGGGGTGGTTTGGGAAACAGTTCACAGAGCCCACCCCCCATGGAGCGGGAATCTCCGCTGGGAACCAGGAACCTGCATCACCTCCCCAGGGTGTCCAGCCCCTGGGGCACGCGGTGGGACCAAGCCTGGGGTGCCTGAGGGGGGCTAGGCTCGCAGGGGATGTGGAGGGGTGCTCAGAAGGCACCCCCTGTGCCCCTGGCCGGCCCACTCTGCTGTGAATGTGGAGGGAGGCCTTCTGTGGGGCAGCCCCCACCCCCGGCTCAGAGGGGGCGCTCTGGGGCAGGCTTGCAGGTGGCCGGCGGCCAGAAGGTGACCAGCCTCACGGCCTGCCTGGAGGACCAGAGCCTGCGCCTGGACTGCCGCCACGAGAACACCACGACCGTGCCCATGCAGTTCGAGTTCAGCCTGACCCGCGACGCCAAGAAGCACGTGCTGTTCGGCACCATCCCTGAGCACACGTACCGCTCCCGCACCAACTTGACCAACAGAAGCACCCTCAAGGTCCTCTACCTGTCCGGCTTCACCTCCAGGGATGAGGGGCTGTACACCTGCGAGCTGTACCTTCCCGGCCAGCCCCCCACCTTCTCCAACAGGAACGTCTCTGTGCTCAGAGGTGAGCAAGCCCCTGAGGGGGCCAGGTGAGCCGGGGGAGGCTGCAGGGCGAGCAGGAGCAGGCAGCGCCTTAACCTCTCCCCTTCCGGTGCCCTGGGGAATCCCTGCCTTCAGAGAATGGGGCGGGGGGTCAGGGGTCAGTCAGACAGGCCTCCCTCTCCCCACCTGGAAAACGGGGTTGACCCCAGCCCCCTCACCCACAGTTTTGTCTGCATTTTTGTTCATTCTCACCCGAGGATATTTCCATTGATATTAGGGAGAGAGAAAGAAAGACAGACAGAAATATCGATGTGAGAGAAACACATCGATTGGTTGCCTCCTGCACGATCCCTGACCAGGGCCCAGGCGGGGGAGGAGCCTGCAGCCGAGGTACATGCCCTTGACCGGAATCGAACCTGGGACCCTTGGGTCTGCAGGCCAACGCTCTGTCCCCTGTGCCACAGCGGCTAGTCACCCCAGTTTTCCTGTGAGGATGCTTAGTAGAGATTGGATATGATGTTTGTTCAGGGACTCAGGACCCTGCATGGGAAAGGTGGTTGGTTCTGCTGGACCAGGTTGGCTCTGGTTCCGGCCGAGAGCCTCATGGCGCCAGCCTCCCCGGGAAGCCGGGCCATCTCCCCGCAGGTGGCAGCCTAGGCCCTGCTCCTCATGCCTGCTCTGCTCTCTTCCCCACAGACAAGCTGGTCAAGTGCAGGGGCGTCGGCCTGCTGGCTCAGGACGCCTCATGGCTGCTGCTGCTGCTGCTCTCCCTGCCTCTCCTGCAGGCCATGGATTTCGTCTCCCTGTGACCTGTGACCTGTGACCTGTGACCTGTCCAGACAGCTTCCTCCTCGGGGTCAGCTGACCCCTCCCCCAATCCCTTACATACCCGGGGGAAATGGGGACCCCACCCTCATAAGGAGTCCCGTGCTGCATGCCATCATCTACCCACTCCCCATGCCCCCCCAACGCCTCCCACCCTCCACACACCACTGGCTTCTCATCCTTGCTCCAGAGCTGCTGCTGCTTCTGTGGTTTATTCAGGGTTTTCCTTCCTTTTCTTGGGGAGTTTGTGAAACGGGAAGCCAGGTTGGGGCCCGATGGAGAGTGAGGACAGGGGAGGGGCTGTGGGGCGGAGGGGTACCTGTGGGGGGGTCATCCCTGCCCCGGGGACCAGAGCCTGGGAGGGGGGTGTGCTTGGGTGCAGAGCCCCCTCAGCAGCCCCGCCCGGATGCGAGGAGAGCGCTAGGGGCACCCTCCCTGCAGCCTGAAGCTGGCCTCTTCCCACCGAGTCCAGTGGAGGCACAGATCCTGCCCAGCAGCAGTGCTGACCGGGGTGGGAGGGGGTGAAGGGAGGGCCCCCCCTCCCCCTTCCCCTCCCCCCTCCCTCCTAAGCACGCTAAGAAGGGGCCTGCTGCCTGTCGCTGCCTCCCCAGCAGCTGAGCGGGCGGCTGTCCCAGCCCCTAAGAATCCCAGACGCCGACCTGGAGGCAGTGAGGGGCCAGGGGAGCCCAGAGCCACGGGATCTGGCCCGTGTTTCTCCAGGAGGCAGAGGCGTTTCCTGCCCTCCCAGCCCCAGCTGGTGCCTGAGCCTCACCCCCTGCCCCACAGCCTGCTGGGGGGGTGGGGGCAGGGGGGTGCCTGGGGCAGGCCCTGAGAAATGGATTTCCCTGGCACCCAGCTCCCCATCTGCCTGACAGCTCTGCCTCGTCCAGTGACTGCATCGTGCCACCCCCGCTTATGACATCTCATTGAGGAAAAAGAAAGTTGCACAATAAACAAACCTCTGGAATCTGTGGTCTCCGCTCTGCTCCCTCCACCCCTAGGCGGCCCCACCTGGCCCCAGGAGGTCTGACCTGCCCCCGGGGGTGCACTGAAGCATGCTGGCTGGCTGGGAACCGCTCTAATTAACGTGACACCTTTGCCCAAATGAGTGGACCTCCCCTCTGCTGACTCACCTGCCCACGCGTGACCCTGGCCCTGAAACATGCTAACAAGGCTAGGAGGTGGAGCCCACTTCTCCTTCTCACGTCTGGTTCTCGGAAAGGCCCCCTCCAGTTGCACCTGCTGCGGGAGGGCATGTGCTGGGGCGAGGGGAGGAGCGGGAGTGGGCCCAGTAGGTGCCGCCCATCACCAGGGGGAAGGCAGCATCTCTCCCGCCCTCCAAGGCCTGGGCAGCTCCCTCCCCCAAGAGGCCATGTGCAGGCTGAACAGCACCCATGTCCTGGCACAGGTGCTAGTACAGGAACACACCGGGTTCCAGGTTCCCGTAGCTGGCAGCCTGAGGCACCCCCCACCGCCTCCCCTGCTGGGGCAGGGACCTGGGGGAGGCGGTGCAAATACCAGAGGCCCACTCACTCCTTGTTCAGCTCTGGGTAAAATGGTTCCTCTGAGCATTTGTTTAAAGGCCCAGTATCTAGCCCGGCCAGTGTGGCTCAGTGGCTGAGCATCGACCTATGAACCAGGTCACCGTTCGATTCCTGGTCAGGGCACATGCCCAGTGTGGGGTATGCAGGAGGCAGCTAATCAATGGTTCTCTCTCATCATGGATGTTTCTATCTCTCCCTCTCCTTTCCTCTCTGAAATCAATAAAAAATATAAAAAATAAAATATATTAAAAAGATAGGCTTTAAAAAATAAGTTAGTATTCAACACTACTAAACTGAACACTTAAAAATGGTTAAGATAGTAAATTTTCTATGTGTTTTTACCACAATAAAAAGAAATAAGTGGAAAGTCAAATTCATAGAAACAGACAGCAA